GATTGATTAACTTAACCCTAGCCGCCAGCCCCTCATTCTATTTATAATTAACTTAAGTATGAGATATTACAAAGATGCCCTAAGTAGGGCGGCAACTCAACCTAAGTAATTACAACTCTTTAAAAAATAAAGACTAATGGGCCCAAGGCCCAGCAACATCTTAATTTAAAAGGAAATAAACTAAACATAAGTCGGCCCACTCAACACAAAGAAATAAAGCTATTACAGAAAACATGTCTTTTAAAGTGATCCATTGGGTACATTTAGTGGATGCCTTTTCCCCTTTTATTACTCATAACATCATTTGGAATTGGCAAACCATGACTAACTCTGCATCCCCTTGGAGAGTATCAAACTTGTTACGGACAGTATCTCTTATCCTAATCAAGATGAATTTTGATGTCTTTAGTCTTGGTAACTCGGAGAAGTCAGGAATTAGAGGCATATTTAGAAATCATGGGCATATCTTGGCAGTGCTTTCTGGCACCATTTGGTATGGTGATTCCACGAGCAGAACTGTTGGCAGTTCAATATGGGCTGAGGCTGGCTAAAAGTCTAAACTTCAGGAATTTAATAGCGGAAGGAGATTTCCATGTTGTAGTTGGTTGGCTTGCAAAGGATATTGGGGGTTCATGGTAGTATAGAAATGAATTCCAAGTAGGGGTGCTCACGGTTCGGATAACCAAACCATGGGCCTAATTTTGAAACTGAACCGGTATTACTAGTTTCTAGAAAACCGGTAACCGAAACCGAACCAAAGCCAATAGGTTAACCGGTTGACCGGTTTGGTTAACTATCGGTTTTTCGATTTTTTTATATTTACAATATATATATATATTATAAAATATCTATAAATATATAATAAAAAACTATAAATATATATAAATTATTATATGTTAAATAATAAATAATATATAATGCATATTTATTAATTTATAATATATAGAAAATAAAAAATATATAATATTACATAAATATACATAAAATATATAGAAATATATGTATACCGGTCGGTTCGGTTAACCACTGGTTTTCTGTATTGGTTAACCGAAACTGAATTGGTACCTTAGATTTTTTAAAAATACCGAACTGACCGTTTCAGTTAACTGGATTTCCAGTTCGGTTTCAGTCAATTTTTCGGTTTTTCTTGCTCACCCCTAATTCAAAGATACAAGAAAGATTGATAGGGAGCTGGGAATCAAATATAGGTGGATCCCAAGATAAGCCAATAGTGTCGCTGATGCACTTGAAAGACAAGGAGTGGGTATGGAACAATTGTTTTGGGAAATGTTCCCCCAAGAGTGGAATTTATAGCAAGAAAGGAAAACATAGGGAAGGCAGCTGTTGCTGGCTCAGTGATAGGGAGGCATTGACTTGTGTCTTCTATATAGCATTCTCTACATGTCAATGCATAAATTTGGATTGTTACTGATAAAAGAAAAGGGAAAAAAATTAATATGATTCTTGTCCAGAGAGGCTTGGAGCTGAAAAAAAAAGACTGAGACACAGACAAGTCTAGGAAGTGGAGGTTATCTCCAGGGTGAAGTGTTTCCTCATCCTCTTTTCCCTTCAACTTCGACCCTGGGCAACCAATCCTTCAGTTTTACATAATTTGATTAGTATTTCCTACATTAATTTATTTTTATAGAAAGAAATAATCTCTGAGAATTTATAATTGGTTCTTTTCCTTTGTATATGTTCTGTAGGATTAACCTACCTATTAAAGTATGAGGCTGTAAGTGGAGGTTATCTCCAGGGTGAAGTGTTACCTCATCCTCTTTTCCCTTCAACTTCGACCCTGGGCAACCAATCCTTCAGTTTTACATAATTTGATTAGTATTTCCTACATTAATTTTTTTTTTTTTGTAGAAAGAACTAATCTCTGGGAATTTATCATTGGCTCCTTTCCTTTGTATGTGTTCTGTAGGATTAACCTACCTATTAAAGCATGAGGCTGTAAGGAAGGATACCTGTTAGCCATCCACCCACTGCATTACAAAGATGAGCACTGTTTTGACTAAACCAAAACATATTTCATTCTGAGTCCAAATTAGTTCATTATGTACTCGGAAAGTTGAGTTAATATTCCCATCATATCAGGCAATGGGGCATTCACATATTTTACCATGTGGACTGTTTCTTGTCATTTCCTCTTCCACCATATGCGACTCAAGTTGGATTCATCTATATGTCATCAATTTATCTTTATTGGTTAACCTCGTTGATCCTCACATGTGTTATTCATATGCTATGCTTGTTCTCTATCAGTTAGATTTAGTTCAAATTAAACAGCTAAATTTTTAATCTTGGAACGAGTTTATTATGGGCTTATTTGAAAAAGCATATTTAATCATCTTTGAAAAATTTGGCCTTTCACATCCATGGGTATGTTTCTCTTGATTGTTTGATCCTTTGCGTTAGTTCTTGCAACATCAGATGTGTACCTGAATTATACTGCTATGTACTATCTACAGGCCCACACTGTGCTGGAGATGAGATACACTGAACAACAGCTCACAGCAGCAGTAGTATCTGAAGGATTGCGGCCAGTGCTTGCTGATCCTGAGTCTGGTGCACCAACAAGTTTGTTGTCCTTGATAGAGAGGTGCTGGAACGCAGATCCTGAGAGCAGGCCTTCTTTTGAAAATATTGTTATGGAACTTGATTCAATAATGGAACATGCAAAAAAAGAGAAAGAAGTAGAAAATATCCCTGGAGTTCCTTATATTTTTCTTGGTGATCAGCTCCCAAGTGATGTCAGTAACATAAGGACTTATCAGGAGAGTATAAACTGGTTCACTCAAGGGGAGCAATTGGCCAAGAGAACTTCTCTTTCAGCTTCAAGTGCAAGAATGTGGGCTGATTTGTCAAATAATTCTTTGGAATACCATCCAATACTGTCTTGGGGATCTTTTGCTACATGTGGAAGAAGGGAGACAATGGAAGATACACACTTTTTAATGCCTCAAATGTGTGGCGAGAAGGATATCCATATATTTGGAATCTTTGATGGTCATCGAGGTTCACAAAGAGACTTTTTCCATCACCATTTTTAGTTTGAACATGTGAATTCAGTAAATGAATAGTATATGTTTGCAGGTGCTGCAGCTGCCGAGTTTTCTGCTCGAGCACTACCAGGATTCTTACAAACTTTGGGTTCCACAAATAGGTTTTGGTTTCTTTCTCGTTTGCTTGTATCTTTCTCTATTTTTTCTTCATCCCATAATTTGTGGTTATTTGTTGAAACAGTCCCTCAGACGCATTATTGGAAGCATTTGTCAAGACAGATATTGCATTCAGAAATGAATTGTTAGCTCTGCGTAATATAAAAGGAGCTGTTCAGAAAGATTGGCATCCTGGTTGCACTGCAGTTGTGGCATTAATTGTTAGGAACCATCTTTTTGTTGCTAATGCTGGTGATTGCCGGACAATTTTATGTCGGGGTGGCCATCCCTTTGCTTTAAGTAAGGTCAGTTGGAATATTTTTCATCTTCTCATTGTTTTCCCCTTATTTCCTTTTTAGTTGGTAAACTGGGTTTACAGATATACAATACCATGAAATGGGGCTGCAATTTCAATTCCAGCCAGGAACAGAACTAGTAATTTTCTCTTTTTTGGGGGGTGGGTGGGGGGATGATAATGTATTTATAAAAAGAACAAAAAAAAGTTTTAAAAATTTACAGAATCTAGAATAGATATGAAATGCATAAAGTATCAATATCTAAACTCCTGAGAAAGTCTCCTAAAAAAATATTGCAAATCAAAACCATATGTTATCTCGTGGAGGGTTGAATTCTATACTTTTTTTTTTTTTTTGAGATGAAAGATAACAGATGTCATTAATCAAGAAAGGGGTACATGAGAAAATGTACAACAGGAAGCACACACAGATTACAAAGGCATTACTCTCTCACCATGTAAAAATTCCCTATGGGCTTCCGATTTAGCCAACCAATCTGCTACAGAGTTTAACTCTCTAGGATTCCAGAACAGATTAGCATTCAAAGAGTCCTGAAGGTCCCGAGCCTCATGCAAATAAATAATGAGCAAGCCTCCATGGCCCTCCATTCTTCTCTCCAAGCCATCCAATGGTGTTTCTCGAATCTCCTTTGATGACAAGGGAAGACAAGCCAAGGTCTCTTGCAATCTGGAGTCCAGTTAGCACTGCTAACACTTCAGCCTTTGTGAGGTCTGCCATCCCGATTGGACCGCTGTAAGCCCACAGTAAATTCCCATCCCTTCCCTTAAACACACCCCCAATCCCAGCTAAACCAGGGCTCCCAAGGGCGCTTCCATCAAAGTTCAGGGTCACCTCCTCTTCTAAGCTTGGCTGAGGAATGTTTGTTGCTTTTAGAGAAGTTGGAGAAGAAAGCAAGATATCCACCATGCTTCTCTGAAGATCATTCAAGGGAACACCTTTGAGCTCCTCTGAGCTCAGCACCCAAATGTTGCACAAGTGAAAAATATGAGGTAACAGTTCGCCCATAGTTTTAGCTTTATTGTTGAAGATTCGGTGGTTTCTCTCCTCCCATACCCCCCACAAAACTTCTTGAACCACAATGCGCCAATACACTATTCCCCCTTTTCCAAGGCCTCTTCCTTGCCATTGCCAAAGGAGGTCTTCAATATGTTCAGGAAAGACCCAGCTGTATCCTACTAGGTTTAGGAAGAAGCACCAAATTTTCCTTGTTTCTGAGCAATGTAAAAGAAGGTGATCAGGATTGAATCCTAATTTCTTTCCAGCTTCCAGCTTCTGTTGTTTGGACCACCACTGTTCCCACTTCCTACCAATGTGTCCTTCCTGGTTTGGACTGCAGTTCTTATAAGGTGCTTAACTAAGGTAACTTTGATAAGAAGGGTTAGGGGAGTGCATTTGACGGATGAAACTTGCATTAAGTGCAATAATTCCCATGAGATAGTTGATCATTTGTTTATTCATTTGAGACTTCAGAGGTGCTATGGGTTTGGGTGAAAACGTTGTTTGGCATAACTGTAATCTAGAATCTGTAATCAATCTTCTCAGGAGCTGGCAGCTGAAGGGGTTGAGCAAAGAAGGTTCTATTGTGCGGAAGACTGCTGTTCTTGATATGATGTGGACGTTTTGGTCAGAAAGAAATTTAAGAATCTTTTAAAACAAATTTTTAATCCAAAGATAAGCTGAAACCTGAAAGCTATAGGGGAGAGTTTTGTCTTAGGTTGGGGTTTGTAGGCTATTCAAAGACAAGTTTAATGATACTTTTTTGATAGTGATACTCTTTTTTGTAAATTAAAGGACTTTTTTGGTGTACATGGGGCTTTTTTTATTTAATGAATATACCTTACGTTAAAAAAATTAATGAGCTTTGTTAAGTATTGGGGGGTCATATGTATATTTAAAATTTTGGCTTCCACATTGTACAATAGTAACAAAACTCACATAATCTTTTTTCTTTTTCTTTTTTTTTTTTTTGTGTG